GATTGCAAGTGGTCTAAGTAGCCCTTCTACAGAATGAAACCAAATTTGAGAATTAAGAGGAGGACGACTAGGGAATAGAGAAGAGAGGTGTGTCAGTGAGAAGATCTGTCCCTTTTGAAGTCATCCGAAGGGTGGGGAAAATTGGAAAATTACTGTTATTATTTATTTATTTTATTATTTAATTAGTTATAATATGATTGTGACCAATGGGCCCATCAGCCTTAGAAACCACATTGTGTTAAGGACTGTACAAAGACGTATGAAGACATGGTCAATGCCTTGAGGAGTCTGCAGTCTAAGTATGTTGGAGCGGTCTTCATCTTCCCCTTTGTTCCATGATTGCAATGAAGATGCTGATGCTTGCCATTCTATCTAGGTTCTCTGCCAAAATGTGTGAACTGTCCTTTGTTCACAGGATACCTTCTGTTATACATTATTACTATTATTATATAACATTATTTCTTTATTTTATTAATTGAGCCCAGTCAGCATGCTAAGCACTGTATAGAACATAGAGAAGGCAAGGTCTCTGCTCTAGAGAGCTGATAGTATAATGAGACTAACAGATCTTTACCATGTGTGTATAATTGTTTTTATCAGGAAGACTTGGATCAATGTGTCATTTCTTGGATGCCCTATATGAGCTGTCTCCTTGGGTTATTCACTTATCCCTCATCTCTCCTCTCCTCTCTCTCTGTGTTTGTCTTCTCTTTACCTTTAAGTTGTTCCTAGTAGACATTCTGCACCTGCTCCCCTTATCTGAACTGCTCTTGTCAATCATTTCATCATTATTATTGTTTGTTATTTGTATTGTTGTAGTGTCTAGGCATCCCAATCGGGGCTGTATTGTGCTAAGTGCTGCTCATGTATGCAATGCAAAGACAGTCCCTGTCCTAAAGAGCTTTATTGTGGCCACCTCCAGGATAAAGCTAGATATCAAAAAGTTAAAGTGCTGTTTATACTTACAGCATTCTCTAAACAGAAAAAAAAATTGTGTGCATTAAAATCTTATATAAAAATATTGTATACAGGTGTGGACTTTGGACTCCTGGTTAGTTGCCTTTTGACCTTCTGTGATGCAAAGGTTGTGCAACAGGGACCTAATAAATTTCATCATTTAGATTTTTCCCAATAGTCAACCTAATCAATTCTTCTTGTACCTTGGTGTTTACACCCTTCAGCTGTCATCTGGCCAACATTTACATATTTATTTTTCTTACTCCTTCCATGAAAATTGTTGGTTTATATTTGATGCAATTATTTTTATTTAATAATTTAATATTTTGACTTTGGTGCTGCTTTTGGTTTCTTAAATAAACCTCAGCAGAAACCCTAGTGATCCTTACATTTTAAGGGCTTCATATGTTAAAAAAATTGTCTGGAGGTGCTAATAGATGCATAAATATCACAATTAGTGGCATATGTAATGTTTGCTTATAATAAAGTTAATGAAAGAAACTGCAATAAAATGCCATTAAGGCTGCAACATAAATTAGCATTTGTATAGACACTGCGCGTGAAGGCTGCAGTGCAATCTTCATCTTTTGTCAGTGGGCTTAGATAGTGTAGAACATATGGTGTCAGATTAGCCACCGTTCTCAAAGGCAAGATTCTGATCTCAGTTACCCTGGTTTAAATCTGGACTAACTGAGATCAAAATTTGGCCTAGAGTGTCTCTAGAGACCCATATTTACCTTGTCATAGTAATTAGTTGGAAGAGGGTGAGCTAAAGCATACAGTGCATCCACCATTACGTTAATGGTTACATCTTAAATATAATGATAGCTAATAATGTTAAAATCAGCCAAGAAGTTAAGGTTAATGGTTCATTCACATTCATTTGAACAGGTATCAGCAATGTAGGAAGAGTATGTGTGCAATAAAGCTTAGTACAAAACATCCTTTCATTACAGTTGTAAAAACAAACCTACTTCCCCCTGCTGTGTGTGCTTAGAACTAGTGTTTTTAATTGTTCAAATATTAACTAATTTAAAATATTTTTACCTCACTTAAAGTACTGAGACTTGTTCACATTCAGAACTATCTATCTGCATACTTTTTCTTATTATTAAATTTAAGCCATTTTGGTATGGAGTTTAGTGCCTCCAAGCCTCCTCCCGTTCCCTCAAAAATGTGGTTTAATGCTATTTTATAGTGTAATTAAAAACTGCTTAAAGGAGTAAAACAATTTCTGCAATAACAAAAACAGAAAATGCATTTGGAGGGATAACACATATGCTAAGCTTGCCTCATGCAATTTTTTAAATGATTGAGATACTGCATGAGAAAATGCTGTGCTAACTACAATGCTATGATGATGATCCTGCTGTAGCTTAAAAGGAGTCTTCGTGCAGTATTACAAGATGAAAAGCTTTGATAGGTTGAAAGTAGTCATTTATAACTGTTAATTTTTGCCGCTGCAATTCCCACCCACTCACTCACCCATGAAATCCACTCTCAGAATGATTTCCTATCCTGAGTTCATGGGAATTATAAACAAGGCTGTCTGTTTCCATGTGATGGCCTATGGTGAAGATTAAGCAAAAAAAGTGGGGGTGGGGGGAGGAGAGAGAAAAGGAACAATTATGTCAATTTCTTATTCTTAATAAAAGTTTCAGGAAAATATTAGAAGCACTAGAAACTGGAATCCTGAGTACTGTAAATAATGATGCTAGATTTGTCACGTTAGTTTTTTAGCATTTTGTTATTCTTGAAAGTCGTTTTGTAGATCACTGCAACTCTCTACTAGTTCAGCTGTAGACCTTTACCTTGTTAGATTGAGCTTTGCTATATTAAGGTCCATTGCACATGGCTTTCTAGTGCTTCATTTACAACATGCTCCTCTAAAACAGCTTCTGAGTATGTGAGTGGCATTGATGCACTTCTTTGTCTGTTTGCTGATCAGTTATGTGTATCGATATCCTAGCAGGAAAGAGATAGAAGGGTCCTGAATGTGTGCGTAGTATGGTCCAGAGCTGTCCAGCCATCAGAACCCTATCTGAAAACCAGTTTAGTCAATAATGGGAATCTTCACTTAATAATATTTAGAACTTGTGATAATACTACTAATAAAAATTGGAGGAAAAATGAGGCCATGAGAACTCTAGATAAATTTAGACTCCAAGTGAATTACATTCCTCTCGGTGAAGGAGTGGGGATGTGGGAAATCTGCCTGTATTTGTTCAGCTGTTGCAGAGATCTGAAGTGCACGTACTGTACATGCTTTAATTCAAGGCAGAATGACAATATACTGTGGGGTTTAATCAATTCCCTCAACGTCAGAAAAGTATATAAATCACGTGACTTTAAAAACTTATTTTAATGTATTTAGAATTGATTAAAATGACTATTTGGCAGTTTGAATGTTAGTATTTTTGGAAAAGCACTTCCTTCTATGCCAAGTTTTGGACACCGGCAGAAGAGGACGAAGCTCAGCTCTCACTAATTAAAGGGCAGAATGTTTCCTAAATCTCCCTCTTGTTCTGAAGTATCCTGTTAATGCAGCTATTCCTGCACACCAATCAAAAACTATTATCCAGTCTTACCATAGAGCACCGAAAACTATGTAGCCATAATCTTTGTCAAATTATGTCACTCATTCAGCTTCCCCTCCTCTGCTTTTTTGCTTCTTAACATCCAAACACAAAACTATTATTGTCAGCATGTGAAAGAGGGAACGAACAAGTTTACTGTTCCAGCAGGGGTTATTTCTTCATCACCTTTTCATTCTTTTATGTTCTTACAGTGAATCCTGCACACCCCTCTTTTGGCTGATGTTTCCCAGAATGTTGTTCCATAAAGCTCCAAAGGAGATCTTGAAACGGGAAAATTAACCTATTCGAAGGATCCCAGTTTATCCTTGCCACAGTTGTAATAGTTTTTGGCCATCACTGGTTTATTTGCTGGTGTTCTCCCTTCACACTTGCATTGAACCTTTTTTACTCATTTTATAGACTAAGACCAAAATTTTCAAACCTGGGTACATAAAGTTAGGCTTCCAAATCCATACTTAAATACCTATGTAAAAGTGGTTTGATTTTTCAAAGGTGCTGAGCACACATGCAGCTCCCTTGATATCACTGTTTAAATGTCCCAAGCTAGTATTTTTATTTCAAACCTTTAAAGATGTCATGAGGGGTAGGTGGCAGATATTTTTTTCTGCACTTTTAAATGAGTACTCTCAAGTATTTCTGAACTTTCCATTTGTTTGCACACACTTAGGAGCGTGAAACGTTTCTTTCCTTAGTGGTTTTGTTCTGTGATGTTTACGCTTAATTTTACTACTTTGTTTTTACTGTGATTCTTATGGAGCCTAGACCATTGTGACTTCATTTTCTTCTTTATGCAACAGCACCCTTAAAAATGTTAATATAGCTCTGCAAAGAGAGTTTAAGCTCTTAGGTTTTGTCTTCAAACCAACAATGAAATATAGATTACAATCAAAAGAGGATACTGAGAAATAATCATGTTCGTAATTATGGAAAGATCTAATGAAGACTCAGCATTATACTCCTGCAGTAAAATGTGTTTACCTTTGCAGCAGCATGAAATGTCTAACCCTGTTGCCCTCACTGTGGTGTGTGACCCAATGTAAACAGTGTATATATGATCTCATTGTAGCATATTAATCTCGGTTTACAGTGTGTTACTGAATTAGTTGAGATGTATGTCTTATGTTTGTGCTAGAGCAAAGATCAGTTCTATAACAAATATATTGCCCAAGTCCTTAATGTGAGATTGTCACTATGGTGTAAAAGGTAAACTTTTTAGTCTAACAACCTTGAATTTCTTTGTGTAATTATTCTGGATCTTGCAATTCCTTGAGTTTTCAAATGGCATTGAACAAAAATATGCTTTCCGTTTTCACCTTGGCTTCATGTTTTATTTGTGTGAGTGTATGTATCGCTACATTATGGACAGTGTTTACAGAAACACACTTTAGAAAGAGGGTCTCTAACTCTTTCATACAGGTATGATACTGATGTTGACTTCTCTTCCAGGTGCCCAGATTATTGATTTGATGATGCTCGTCATAGATGTGACAAAAGGGATGCAGACTCAGTCAGCAGAGTGCTTGGTGATTGGGCAAATCGCCTGCCAGAAGATGGTAGTAGTTCTGAACAAAATAGACCTTCTTCCAGAGGGGAAGAGACAAGCTGCCATTGAGAAGATGACGAAGAAAATGCAGAAGACTCTGGAAAATACAAAGTAAGTTACCAAAGATGTTCTTCTAATGTAAGAAAACTTTTTTATTGTACATCCACATACTTCTCAAAGATGCTTTCACATACACCTTGGTTAGATCAGACACAGGCATAAAGAGGTCTCATGTATGGATGCATAGAAAAGGATAGAGGTGTATGTCGTCTCCCTCCCCCCCGCCCCAAGAAATTAAAACCCTATCTTAAATTTTGCATCTGACCCCTGAGCAAGATTTTTAAAAGTGCCTTTTCATTGCTCTGATTTTTGGTGCCCAGTTTGAGACAACTCCAGAGGGTGGTTGCTCAAGTGCCTAGCATTGATCATAGCTAGTTGACATATTTTTAAATATAACTGTTTCTATCTACACTAGGTGCTAAGCGATGTTTTAAAATGTGCCATTTAACATGTGTTAGTTGACACCCCTCAGTTTTTCAGTGTAGACAAGAACTTTGTGAGTTCTGTGCTATTCTTTTGGGTTAATTTGCTGCACTTCCCCGGCTGTGCGCTCCAGCTGCTCATTGTGGTCATTAAAGATCTCATGGTGGCTGCTTTGTTCCTAAGGCCATGTCAACAATAAGGGGACCATAGCAGCATAGCTAATGTGCTGTAGCTATGCTGGTCTAACCCTATAGTGTCTACACTGCCACTTTCAGTGCTAAAACTTCAGTTGTTTAAGGGTGTGAAAAACACCTCCCTGAGTGGCAAAAATTTTAGCGCTGAAAAGGGCCTGTATAGGCAGCGCTTTATCTCTGGAAGCCATGCCACCGGTGATAAAGCTACCACCCCTCATTTGGGCGATAAAGCATGACTATGCTGCTGCGGCCGCGCTGTAAAGTGGGCAGTGTAGACGTACCCTCAGACTACAATGACAAAAGGGATTTTACTGTTGCTGTAGGAACACAACCTTTGAGCAGACATGCCAAACCCGGAAAAAAAGCACAGAAATTGGGCTTGTTTTTGGCTTAATTGTCTTGTGAGTTGCTTGTTGGCTAGTTTTTGCCTTGTAACTTGTTGCATCTTTTTTTTTTTTTAATTGGCTCCCGGCAAGCAGGGGCAAGGTGGGGAGAGAGCCAGGGGTGCACAGCAGGCCCACCTACAGTCCCAGACTGCACATAGAGTCTGCACAGGGGATCTAGTCACATAGAGTGTTGGGGTTCTTAGGGATTGGCTTATTTCGGCCTTGTTTTGAAATGGGATTATCTTGATTTTTGGCTTATTGTGAAAGTTGGGGTGCCTATTTACTGCGTGACAGTTGGCAACAGTGCCTTTGAGTGATGGTAGCTATGTTGATGGACGCATTCATCTGTTGACCTAGTTGCATCTACAATGGGGTCAGGTTGGCATAACTACGTTGCTCAGATGTGTGGATTTTTCACACCCCTGAGCACCATAAGCTACCTTGCCCTAAATTTTAATTGTAGCGTCGTCTTCAGTGTAATGCTGTGAGAAACAAACCAGAATTAAGGTAGTTAATCAATTTAAAGGCTCTCTTTGAATTCAGCTCAGATAAAACAACAGAGGTAAAATCTCCTGGTTTAAAAAAAAAAAGATCTGCCCTTTGGTTTATGGGGTTGTAACACTTTCTGCACTCCGGGAATCTTGTCAGCTGCAGAGAGAGGAAGGAGAAGTTAGGGTCTTTCCTGACTTGAAGGTGAGAAGTGTGATTGGTCTTAATGGGAAAAGAACAGTGTGATGGATGGCTTAAATGAGAATATGGAAGATGTGTTTGAGATTGGGATTATCAGTTTGGTACAATAAAAATAATACTTTTGAATTAAGTAACAATTGTTGAGTGTTTTGTAGCCTCTCAACTCCCCTAGGGGCAAGGCTGCAAGGTACTATCTCCTTTTTATAGATAAGGAAATTGAAGCACAGATGGCTGAAGTGTTTTGTCCAAGGTCATGCTGTGGAAAGAATTCTGACTCATACTTGCCTAGCTGCTAAATCACATTTGTTCCCAATGGCAGGCATAAGAGCAGAAGTAGATTGAGCATTTGAAAGTGAGGATTTTAACAGTGCTAGAGGAGCCAGCAGAGCTTGGTTGTGTAAGTCACCTCATATTTAACTTATTTTTGATAGTAGGATAGTGTCCCCGTTCAGCTGAGCAATCTGAAAATCTTACTTTTTATCAACTTCTCTGTTCTTTAGTCTGTTTCCTTTTGATCAGTACAGCATAGAGGTCACTAGAATGAAGTTTCCTCTTGTGTATATAGTACAGAGACAAAATTCTGCAACTTGTCACTCTCCTTCATAGAGAGCAAATGAATATAAAGCAACTTGTTTTCCCCTGTCATGTAGATTGAGAAACTCTCCATTTTTATTACTTTCTATGGGTGCAGATACCTGTAACTTGGTCTGAGATTGCTTAAACTTTTTTAATCTCCATCTCTGATCACACCAAATATATATGAGTTTTCTTAGCTGTGCCTTTTTGTTAATAAAATTCATTGATCAGATAAAATGATCACACTTACATGACTGTTGCATAAGAATTCAGATTTGTTATTCACAGCCGAAGTGGCCATCAGACTGCAAAAATGAACAACTTAAACCTAAAGGTTTAATTTTATCTCATAGTTTTTCTATAATTTTATTTACTTGCTAGAAAGGTTGACCCACTGCACATCTCTTATCTTGAAACAGAAATGAAAATAATATTTCAATTTTTACATATTTCTTATCTGAGAAACAGTTCTATTTGGTTCAAATAAGTGAAATTGTGAGAAAGTAATGATTTATAATAGTTTATCTTTGCAAACTAATCAGATGCTAGCAAAATGACAAAATAAAGATTCATTTTATTTTGTCTGAATGGATATCCTTACTCCTGCATGGCACTCTGGTCATAGGTTAAAGTTTGAGAACATACTGCAAATAAAGAGGAAAAATTACTTTTCTAGTGACCTATTGTATGAGGGTCAACACCTAATTGTCTGTGGAGTTTGGTTGTGGTCAAACCTATATTCAGAAAGCTAAAATTATAAATATATTGGAAGGAAACTAGAGTGTCTTCTCACAGAACTTCCTTGCACTGAATACACATATACCTTCTTAACCCAATCCTTTCTTAAGAGCTGGGGAACACAAATAGGCCTTGCAGAGCATACTCTGAAAGTTGGCTGATTTGATCACACTAAGGGGGAACTGAGTTCTAGAGTGAAACCTCTTGCCTGCAAATGCTCTCTCTCCACCCCTTTGCTATTTAAGAAAAGGTCCTCTCAGCTGATCTCAACTGCTCTGGTTTCCCCATGGAGATAGATGGTCTTTCATAATGTTTTAGTTGAAGTCATTTGAACTACAGATCCCAGGGATGCTCATATATCAGATGTCTGTTGTCTTCCCCACCCATGCACAAAAAGATTCAGCATTCGGACATCAGATCTATTGTTGGTGAATTTTTAAAAGGATTGCTGACCTGGGCTTGTCCTAAAGTGCCAACCCCACTGTGCAGCAGACATACTTAATTTCCTGACAGCCTCTTTCCCATCATCAACTCTGTGCTATCAAACACAGGCAATTTAAGCTGGTTTTGCATTTCCAAATGACTCCTATTTATGGGACACCGCTGAGACCATTTGGCAGCCTGCTTTTCCTTACGTACTCATCTATAGTTCCTGGGGGGAACCTCAGTTACTAAAATATTGGTTCTGTCCATGCTATGGGTGAAGCCCTGTATCAACAACCAAATATCAAGTGTGGTTGCTAGTATGGTTGCAACTGTAGAGGTGACAGTGCTATAGACCCTGACAACAACATATTACAGCTGCTGCCACATGACTTCAGTGCAATGGAGAAAGAGAACAGGGATGGTGAGAATAGCTGTCATCCTTCTGCGGGTTTGGTGCTTTCAGAATTTGGCCTCATTTACAGTTGACCGTTCTGCAGATTGGCACCTAAAATCAATCAAAGCAAAAATATTTCACGCCAGAAAATCAAAATTAGTGTAGTTTTTTTGCCTGGGTTTCTTGTCCACACTAGCCTTTCTCTTTGTTTGGTGGAGACAATAAGTTATTTGTGGTGGAGTAAAGTAGTTCTTATAGGGTCCCCTTATATTTGAATGTATTTCTAAAAGCAAAAACAACAAGGAGTCTGGTGGCACCTTAAAGACTAACAGATGCATCCGAAGAAGTGAGGTTTTTACCCACGAAAGCTTATGCCCAAATAAATCTGTTAGTCTTTAAGGTGCCACCAGACTCCTTGTTGTTTTTGTAGATACAGACTAACACGGCTACCCCTGATACTTTCTAAAAGCAGCATGCGACGCCTCTAGCTTATGTTACATGGGGTTCGTGTGGAAGGAATGAGACACCTGGTTCAGCATTAATTTGTTTATTGCCCAAAAGTGTTTGGATAAAAATAATTGAATTTCCAGAAGCTTTATGGTTAATGGCTGGAATTCTCAGTGCACATTTTTATCATCCTTTGTCCCTGGGAGCCTCAGGCTTATGGCACATAAACAGAGAAAATACCTTGTATACTGGATTAGTGTTTGATAACTTCTGCAGAGGGAGCACATTTAGTGATCCTTCTCTCTTTATCAGTGAGCTGTCATTCTCCCCCTAGTTTTTGCCTTTTGAGATGAAAATCTAAAAGTTTAAGTTGGGAGAGGAGGAGAGCAAAAGGAATCCCATACACTCTGATTTTGTGACCTGTCTCTGTTGTACAGTAATTGAGTATTTATGAGAACTGAACACTTACAGTATTTGAAGGTTTTTTTCCTGCTCTTCTGCTTTTTATCATCTTATTTTACTGGCCATTGTGACTCTGTGGGGGTTGTTTTGGCTTTTTAAAAAGACTCTACCCTATTTAAGGTCCTGGTCCTTACAAAGGCAGGTTTTCATTTTGTTTCCTTTCAGAAGTCTTTAAAAAAAATTCATTGTCAAAATGAGTTATTAGATGAGATAAACCAATAGTTTGCATCTCACAAAAGGTATAATATTACAGATTCTTTCAACTGCTAAAAAAACTACTATATATTACAGGGCTGAAGAATAAAATTGGTTACAAAAGGAAGTCTTAAACTCCAGGATTGAGTTGGATGACATAGTGGTATTCTCTTAAGCTTTTCTCACTGGAGATGGCAAAACAAGGTGCCTGTTAAACAACCACTCACCTCTTCTTTCTGGTATGCTTTGATCATCAGTTAAGTTGTTAACACTGTTGACATTTACATTATAATCATTAGGCTTCAGAGTTCACATCCCTTGATCTGAGTAGAGGCAAATCTCAACACTATGGTTTCAGGGTGTCTGTAGACTCAGTCAGACATCACAGCGCTGTTTTATATCTGATTCACATTTTGAAGGTGGTCCTTGCAGTTATGACAGCTAGAGGATTATTTTTTAATTTTTTTTTTTTAACGAAAGTTTACAATCTGGAGCACAAGATGGGAATCCTCCAGGAAAAAAGGGTCCAGCTTACTGAGCCCTCTACAAGCTGGCCCAGTTGGACCCCTGCTTAAACTACAGCCTTCTGAGGCAAGCTGTAATCTTATTACACCTCTACCTCGATAGAACGCTGTCCTCGGGAGCCAAAAAATCTTACCGCGTTATAGGTGAAACCGCGTTATATCGAACTTGCTTTGATCCACCAGAGTGCGCAGCCCCCCACCCCCGGAGCGCTGCTTTACCGCGTTATATCCGAATTCGTGTTATATCAGGGTAGAAGTGTATTTATTCCCCAGGGAAGTCAGACCAGAAACTACAACAAGGGAAAATTAACAGTGTTAAAGGTTCAGTAGTAAATTCAGAGGCACAAATAGTACATTCTCAGAAGAAGTCAATAATTCATTATTGCAGAACTAGATCAATCCGTATCCAAGGCAATTTCCTCATGTGGATTGTCAGATTATTACCATGTTCTATTTGTATGTGCAGGGGACTTGTGGTCTTAAGTTGGGATGCTCTTTTTCTCTTTTAGGTTCCAAGGGTGTCCTATTGCTGCTGTTGCAGCTAAGCCAGGTGGACCAGAAGCCCCAGAGACTGTGACTCCACTAGGTGTTTCTGAACTAATTGAGGTACGTGTACTGAAAAAGGAAAACACTGTAAATTATGGCCCAGTTTCTTAAGTTCTTTGGTGTTTCTGTAATAATATTTAATTCTAATGAATTTATGTGATATTCATGTGGGGAGTTCTAAGCACTTCTTTAGGAATCCATTCTAGTTGAACAGACAAGTCAAGGCTGCTTGACCCAAAAGGTGAATTGTTGTATCAGATTTTTTCAGTGAAGAACTGCCATAAAGAACTAACATGCTCAGTCCCAGTGGCAGTAACCAGCCACATACTAAGACACTAGTACGTGTTCAGTGGTGGAAGATTTTTGTTATGGGTAAGCAAAGAAGTTTCTTGTAAAATTGTGAGGGATTGTTACGAGTAGTGAGTAAAATTAGTTCTAAAATTCTGCCAAATCCATGGAGGGTATCTTTTTATAATTACAGAAACAGCTAAGTTTAAAAACAAACAAACATTAAGGTTGTAAACTCAATCACTCAAAAGTTAGGAAATTTGGAAAATCTTAGTTTGGCTCCCTTCTGTGGATGCATTATGATAGAGTCATTAATTACATGATCAGTTTTTTTTCCCGCATGAGCATTGCCTCATTCAGTGTGCAGGATGGATGGTACTCAGTTAATGAGCAGCATTTGAGTATTTTATTTTCTCGTCATGGTTCAATGTGTGGCGCCTTATTTACTGGGCATTATTCAAACTTTGTTCTGACTACAAAATTATTCATTACTCATGGACTTTTCAAGGGCACCCATCACTATAGCATTTGAGTGCTTCACAAACATTAATGATTTTATTTTCACAGCACCCTTGTGAAATGAGGGGGGTAGTATTATTCCCGTGATATATATGTGGAGCTGAGGTTCAGAGAGATTGTCTGCTGATTTTGGGTGCCCAATTTGAGATGCCTATAACTGATTTTTCATAGTACTTAGCATTATATATAATTTCATATGTTCATAGCATTCCACTGAGTAGAGTTGCAGCTGTGAGTGTTCAATACTTCTGCAAATCAGATCACTTTCCAACTTCTCAACAAATGAGGTTGGGGACGTACAGACAACAGCCTCCTTCACTACACCATGCTAATTCATTCCCACAGCATGGTCCTTCCTATGGCACTGAATGAGACAGGGGTCCTATTATAAAAATATTTGATCATGCAGTTAAAGACTATATATAACGGATATGCAGAAGGGGGCTGAATTAAGGCTGCACAGGAAACCTTAGTTTTGTCATTTCCTAACTTTTGAGTGCTCAACTTTGCAACCTTAATAATGTTTTTTAACATTACTTTTTGTGAGCTTTCCCAGGTTTTTAAAAAAGCAAACTAAAAAAACCAAATTCCATTATATGGCATCATATTGTCATCTACATGGGTCATCAGCAGTGTTTGGAACCCTTTGATCTATCTCAGAGATCTCTGCCACTTGAGCTAATGGAGTAACTAATAGCAATAATAGGGTTGTCATCTTCTTATGTGGACCAGCCGTGTGGAAATAAGGCACCCACTTTGCCAGTGGGTTTCCTGGCTATTTGCTGACAGCATCAGTAATGGTGAGTCTTGGGAATCTTGAGTTCCTCCAACCCCTTTAACCTGTGCCTGTTTCCATCCTAGTCCTGTCTCTTCCTTTCCCCTTGCTCCTCATTCCAGTTCTGTTCTCTTTGTGTTCCCAGGCTCAATTCCTCAGGCTTCTGATCCTAATTCTGGTCTCCTTGCCCAGCTAGTCTTAGTCTCCCCCTCCAGGCTCTCTACAGCCAAGTCCCAATCTCATCCTTCCCCCAGTTTCTCTTTGTCTGTTTCCAATCCCTCTGTCCCAGTCTTTTTTCTCAGCCAAGCCCAGTTCTCCCCCAACCCTCTTGCTCCTTGTCATAACTGTCTCCTCTTCCTTACTCTTCTGCCCCATTCCCTCTAGGGTGACCAGATGTCCCGATTTTATAGGGTCAGTCCCGATATTTGGGGCTTTTTCTTATATAGGCTCCTATTACCCCCCACCCCCTGTTCTGATTTTTCACACTTGCTATCTGGTCAGCCTAATTTCCTCCCTCACTGGTTCACAATCCCAGTCTCTTTACCCAGTATGTCCTAGTGCCCCCAACCCTTCCAGTTCTAGTCTCATTAGGTTACATGTTCCAATCTATTTTCCCTCTCCCCACCCCAGTTTTTGTCCCCTCTGTATTTGGATCACGTGGTTTTCTCCTCCATGCTGGCTGGGTGCCAGGGGGGCGTTATTAATAGTACAGAAGAGACAGGCTTCCTTCTCGCAGTTCTGGTGCCTGCCTGGACCCTAGCAAGGAGTTGCAATTACAGGAGAGTCTAGTTTTGCCCCTGTAGGTCTAGGCTTGAGCGTGCTCATTTACAATGTGGGGATGACACATGCGCAGTCTGGGCACATGTAGGAGCTGTGAGGGGAAGAGTCATTTTAGCTGCTAAACTCTAAAGTCTACTGAGCATGTGCAAACTGAGATATTTTCAAAGCTTATAACTTGACCAAATATGAATGGATTTTCACATGGACAACAAAAGGCACATCCCTGGCATATAGGCTACCCCCTGCAAAATTACAAGTCCCTGTTCCCAAGTCGGGGATGTTAAAAATTTTCAAAGAAAATGTTGCCAGGTTTTTTTTAAATGGCAAAACAGTATAGTTTTTCCTAACCTAATTCTTGGAAATGGCTGAACTGTTTTAGCTGAAACTTTCCAAAGAAATTCAGCCTGAGGCAGACACCCAGCATGTAAAATTTCAGCCCAAACAGTTAATTTGACAAAGTTGTAAGCAACTGAACACTTCATGTTATAATGGGAAGTGTCAGACAACCTTTATAGGTGCATCTACCACCCCTATCTACAATAAACTGGACTGTTATTTTAGTGTGTTACTAGACTCTTATCATGTCAGAGTATGGGGTGTGCAGTGCATTGGGTTGCTCACTGTGGATATCTGGGTTCAAATACTGGGTAACAAGAGACATTGGGTTTGATGTTAAATTCTTGTTGCTAGGAGACATATCTACATGTCAAAACAACTGTATAATTTAGCACAACTTTCAGTTTCTGCTCAAGGGAATCCCAGTACTGTAAGAGTACACAAGTTCTGTGCAAACACTGCCACTGTTCCTCAGTATTTCATCCCTGCTATTTTAGTTCTGGACCTATCTCCCATTCTTCTACCAGAGCATCTCAGTCTTGACCCACTGTTCCAGTCCTATGCCTTTTTATGAGCAGACACTGACAGTTGTACCATATTCAGTATATATTACCATAATTCGCGCAATTGGGGACTAGGATTGAGATGTGAACCAGGTCCCTGAACCGCTAATGGCCACACTACTGCAGCCCACAATAATTAAGGTTTTTTCATCTTGCTGTTGTATTTTAACAAACATTTTGTTAGTAAAATGCAGTGAAATCCTAGCCTTGGTAAGCTTATCCTGAGCTTAATGAAGATGGCGCTTTTGAGAGAGCGAGCGAGCTATGAAAATAGTTTATTCCTCCAAGAAATGTCAGCATAAATCCTAAATCAGTCTGATTTTAATTCTCTTGTCTTATTCCAATACAATATTTCTTACGGGATAGAGGCAGGGATGAGTTTTCTGAGGCATTTTAAGATTACATATATAGCAAACTCACCTCCTTCAAATCTGAGACGCTGTAGTGGTAAAATGCACTTTAAAGTGGCGTTGGCAATTATTTTTAAGCTAAGGAGTGCAGGGTTTTTCATTCTCTTTTGCCACAGTGTTTCTGTTTAGTTTCATAGGAGTTTTATCTGTAGCACAGTTTTGCTAACCAAGCTGAATGTGCAGCACCAAACCTTTCTGTGGCAGAAAATAAATCCCCTCCTGCTGTTTCTAAGTGTACATCTCTTCTGTAACGTGAACAGTTTATTTGACATTGGTCTATTTCAAGCTTGTTGTGGGACTTCTGAAGTCAGTAAAACTACAAGTTTATTGAATCAATCATCTCTTTTTGCATCATGCCTGTCATGACATTTCACCAAGACATGGTACGTCTTTTATCTATCTTTCAGGTCCTGAAGTCTCAGGCTTACCTGCCAACAAGAGATCCCACGGGACCCTTCCTTATGGCCATCGACCACTGTTTCTCCATCAAGGGTCAAGGCACAGTGATGACAGGGACTGTTCTTTCTGGCTCCGTTAGCTTAGGTGATAATGTGGAGATTCCTGCCCTGAAGGTGAGTGTCTCTGTCCCCCAGCCCCACGAGACTGAGAGAGACTCAACAGGGAACAGCATGTTATTTTCTGTTTCTTAGTTTGTCAATTTATTTGTTAACTTCTTTATTTTCCTGTTGCGCTGCTTTAGCCCATGCTGGGCAGGCAAGGATGGTAGAAACTCAGTCATTTGGGATACAGTATAACTTGTAACATGGCATTGTCCAATGGCTTATAGAATGTCATTTGCAAGGGAAATGGAAGCCTGAAGGTGAGATTTAAAGAGAGGAGGCCCTGGAAAGGGAAGTTTTAAACAAACTGGACAGCCAAAAAGAGTGGAGCGCCCTCCCCCCCCATTTCTACTTGCTCAACTTTACTGTCATGTGGAAGGGACAGAGAGGAGGCCAAGGTTAGTGCATTAGCTATACAATGTCAAGTGGGCAAATCTGATTCTGATTTCCTAGATATGAAATGGCTAAGAACTCAGGACTGTTTTCCCCTCCCCCCCCCCTTCTTTGATTGAGGGTCTTGCATTCTAGATATTGGCTAGCATAACGACTGGGGCTGTATAAGAATCTGAGTAGATTTCCTGAGATTCGAGGAAACTAGGAAAATAAGAAAATGACAATAAGAGGGCATGAAAGTGTTTGACATACAAATCTCTGCATGTGCCATGGATTTCTTGGATGTCAGCATATTCTGAGAGGACTACTGGGTGACAGCATGTGGCTTGCTGCAGTTTGACATTTTATAGACCCTCTAGAAAGTCAAAAGGCCTTCCAAAAAAGCCTCTTTAAATTTCTGTGATTTCTGTGTAATCTGAGCATTTCATTGCCATTTTTTCCTTAGAAATATATTATCCCTTAAAAGAGACTGGGCACCCCTGATGTGTATAGTGGGGGAAGGTCCAATTCACAGGTGTTGGCTAGAATGCTATCCCTCTGGTCTTATAGTTAACTAAGGGAAGTGAGCATGCTGCTTCCTCAGCTCTCCCCAGGCGTTCTGGTCCAGTGAGGGACTGGGCAAGGAGTTCTGATCTTTAGTGGTAGACAAGAGCACTGCTTTAAATCGTATCTTTCCTACAAACTGTCTCTGCTAACAGAGTTGTGCAATAGAGTTATAGGGATATACACCTCTACCCCAATATAACGCTGTCCTCGGAGCCAAAAAATCTTATCGCATTATAGGTGAAACCGCGTTATATCGAACTTGCTTTGATCCGCCGGAGCGCGCAGCCCCGCCCCCCTGGAGTGCTACTTTACCGCGTTATATCCGAATTCGTGTTATATCGGGTCACGTTATATCGGGCTAGAGGTGTAGTAAATAACACAGAGAGAGTGAGCTATTAAGAGTGGGAGCTGAGTGAACAGAATTCCACAAATTATTTCTTCATGTTCAGAAATTAATCTTAATTTGATAGTGACCCTTTCACATTTCCTTTGCACATTTTACTGCACAATCTTTTTCTAGTACAAATGCTTGCTAAGAATGAATACATAGCTTGGCTATTTGTCAGAAATGAATGTTGAATTGTATATTTTTTGTAAAATTTGCAATTTGTGCTGTGCTGATTGAAGAACGGTTCAAATTACAAATTTTACAATTGAATATACATATTGATATATTTGTTTGTAAGACTTGCAATTTGGATGAACTACAGGCCAAGAATTATTGGCTCAAGGATCTTCAGAAAATTTTTGGATGAATGCATTTGAGAATTACGTGCTCTGTTTGTGATAATATGTAAACAAAAAAAGGCAAAATGTGTTGAGTAATTTATGTATTGCAGATTATTTTCCTCAGATTTATTAGGTGAAATAGGTAAGAGATCATTTAAAATGAGATTTGGAAAGAGATGAAGTCTGTTTGGCAGCGATGTAGGGGGAAGGACTCTTTTCCACACATGAAGAGCTGCAGAGGAGGTGGTTTTTGACACCAACTCTGGTGAGATTGTGGGGAGGAATGAGGTTAGGGAAGGAGAAGACAAAACACTTTGCATTTACAGCATATAGCAACTTGCATATTAGGCTTTCTCAGCATTTTACAAACACTGATGAATTAATCCTCTTACTAGCTTGCTTAGGTAAAGCTACATGAAGGCAGAACCTGTCTCTTCTTAGTTCTGTAAAGTAATGGGCAGTGTTGGAACTCATACTCATGAGGTAAGTTAGTGACGTTATTCCCATTTTACAGAGAGAGGAACTGAGGCACAGAAAAGAGAGGCGACTCATCCTACGCCTTGCTTGTCCCACGCAGAGTTGGGCTAGTATACCTACTAAAGGTGAAACCTTTCTCAGGCCTACAAGGAAATGGAGGAAGCACATTTCACAACACACTGTGGTTCATGACTCTTACTGACCTTTCTTTGCTCCGACCCTGTGATAACTGAGATTGACAGCTGGTGCCCACTGGGCATTTGGGGACATTGCAAACCAGCTGTTTTTTTAAATTTGAGGAACCCTCTCACCAAATAAAGTGGCATCACTTTCTAATTCAACTAATAGACTTCGACATCTCTGACCGCTTGAACTTGCACAAAGGAGGGACACAGCAATTAAAAATAAACAGTGACATTCTCGAACGCCCAATGCTTTCTCTGATTGAGGCTGAGAATGCCAACAGCGTACTGATTCCTTTACCTACTAAAGTGCCTATGTAAATTGCCATCTGGGGTTGATTATACCGCAAAGAGAAAAGTTATATATATGTTTGACAAAAAGCTTTGACACAGCAAACTATTCTCTATCCAGGCAATTTAGTACCATTTGTTTGATAGCATTTGATTCACTTTGAAGAGCATGAACCTAGGATTTCTGCTGTGAAAACATAATATTGGCAGAATTCTGATTCTGAATCCTTTGGGATTACTCCAGTGGTCTTTAAATCTCCACCTCCTCCCAGTTTACAAACTGCATTTGTTTATATAATGTGACATTTCTGCTACTACCTTTATAAAAACAGGTTCCTGGGCTGGGTAGTGAGGTTCTTATTTGTAATTATCCATTCACTTTAGGACTGATGTTAGTTAGTAAAACATATGTTTTGACATATTGTTGTAAGTATACTTTACTATGAGAATTTAGGTTAAAGCAAAGAGATGGTTAAAAATTCAAGATTTTCAATACTACTAATACTTAGGGCTTGTGTACAGCAGTGGTTTTCAAACTGCAGGTCACAACCCAGTACTGGGTTGCAGAATGTAAGGCACGGGGTTGCGGCGACTCTGGTCAGCACCGCTGACCGAGCCATTAAAAGTCCTGTTGGTGGTGCTGCCCAGCTAAGGCAGGCTAGTCCCTACCTGTTCCGACACCGCACTGTGGCCCGGAAGCGGCCAGCAGCAGGTCTGGCTCCTAGGCAGGCTGCCCCCGCCCCGAGCACCGGCTCCGCGTGGTGCCTGTGGGCGAGAGTCGCGCGGAGCCACTTGCACACCTCTGCCTAGGAGCCGGACCTGCTGCTGACCGCTTCCGGGGCACAGCCCATCCCAGAGCCCTGACCCCCTCCCATACCCCAACTCCGTTCCTCAGCCCAGAGCTCCCTCCCACACCCTGAACTCCTCATTTCTGGTCCCACCCTGCAGCCATCACCCCCTCACCTCAGCCTTCTGCCTCAGCCCTGAGCCCTTCCCACACTCCAAAGCCTTCATCCACAGCTCTGTTGGGTCAAGAGCATCAACAATTTTCTTCACCTGGTTCGCCAGAAAAAAAGTTTGAAAACCACTGATGTGCAGGCCCATTTCATTTAGTTTGCAGCAAGCTGGTGTGTGACTCTACCCTCCACTAGCCTGCCACATGCAACCTAAATGTTGATGTAGACAAGTCCTTAGTTTTTGTTTAGCACATTTTAATTAATAAATTGTGAAGTGCTTTTAGAAAGGTGGGTGAGTATCCTTAGTCTCACTGTACTGATAGGAAATCTGAGGCATGCTGTGGTTGTTACTTGCCCAGGGTCAAACGTGAGTAAGAGCAGACCCAGCAAAAGAACTCGCATCTCTTTTTTTTCTGTCTCTGGGCCTTGGACCTCAGCTGTCTCCAGCAGTCTTTTGAAAGAACACTGTCAAATAGTTTAGGCCCAACTTTTAGCTTTGTATTTCATAATTATTTAAATTGAATAGAAATATTTTTCTTTTTTGGAGGGGATTTAAACTTCCCCATGTAGAAGTAGGTTAGTTCAGGAGAATTAGAAAGTGAAAATTACTATGAGCAGTCTGAACTATAAAGCACTGAGGAGTCTAATTTCAATGTCTAAGCTAAACTAAATGCAAAAAGAATCCAGAAAAATTGTGCAAAGTATATTGGTTTTTAATTTGTTTCAATGTTATTAATCTTAAGGCTTTTGCTTAGATTCAACAGTTATAGGCTCAATGGAAATCATGCTGAGAAAGTAACATAGATAAGGTAATTTGTCAAGATAAGGAAGATACTATTTTAATATCCCTTTTAAAGTGAAGTTGGTTGGAGGCAGGAAGGTGTTCCAGATAAGGCATTGTGAGCCACCTTCTCTCCCTTTGCCCCTAAGTTGTGAAGAGCCCCCACAAAGGGCCAGAGAGGAGGACAAGTCAGGAGTGCAGTGAGTAGACAAAGGAGTGTACAGGAAGTGGATACAAGGTCAAAGAGATAAGATGAGGTGAATTCATGGAGAGTTTTAGTCCCAAGCAAAGTGAGTTTGCTTGGGACTAAATCAGTAACATTTATGCTCCTTGTGAAATCACAGCATGTATCTTCTCTCCCCATAGTGAGGTCCTGCTAAATGTCTGCTTTGCTAAACCACTGCCATTTTATGTGGTTATTGGTGACTATCCAAGGAATGTAAATGCAAACTGAATACCATAGATCAGGGTTCGCCGTCCCGGGCCAATGGGGGCGGCAAGAAGCGGCGCGGGTGAGCGATGTGCTGGCCGCGGCTTCTCGTCGCCCCCATTGGCCCGGGACAGCGAACCGCGGCCAGTGGGGGCCGCGATTGGCTGAACCTGCTGCGTCAGCAGGTAAATAAAACTGGCCTGCCTGGCCCGCCAGGGTGCTTACCC